TAAAAAAAAAAAAAAAAAAAAAAAAAACTCATGGTGTATATGAGGGCGCTGGAAAGCAGAACGAATCGAAAATTTTTCACCACGCCCACTTGTAGTGAAAAGTTTAAATTTATTCAGTTTGGTCTGAATATTCATTATTTTTTTTATTCTTTTATTTCTTTTAAGCAAGGTAGAGTTACTTCTTAATAATATCCGCTTGGAGAGACCATCCCAGCGTGTGGCACCGTTACGAAGTCCTCGAAAATCATATCAGGAATTGACCCAAGCTTTGTGGGTGAGATGGGTTAGGCAGAACTGTTTGGAAGTCGTCTATGAAAAAATATACACATATTAAAAAACGGAGTGTTTGAATAACATTTGAAGTTTATAGTGTGTATATATATATATATATATATATATATATATATATATATATATATATATATATATATATCGAAATGTATATAGCGTCGATTATAATAAGTAGAATATATCGCAAGTCCTTTACATAAAAAACGACAAAAATTCTCAACACCCTGAACTAGAAACAATGCCTGCAAATAAAACTGACAATTGGTTGTTTATAGACAGGATTGGTATATTAACTTCCTGTAACTGCTGAATTATGTTCCAATAAAAGAAAATTATTTTCCTTAACACCAAAAATAAACATCTATTTTAGTACTTTTATTTATTTCTCTTATCCAAGCATCTATACCAAATCGTGCCAATGGATGATTTTGAAGCGAAATTACTTCTTTGGCAACACTCGCCGATACCCTAACCGCTTGACATCATATAATTTTACATATTTCCTGTTTCCCATTTTTTTCTCGTTTTCCTTTTCTTCGTCATATATAAAAATAACTAATTCCTCTTTTTCTCACATTTCAATCCAATCTTTTTTTCTGTAACGATCTTCCTTCCTTCCTTTTCTTCTCTTTCTTTCGTTACTTTTCTTCCTTTCTCTTCAAATTTGCACCATCAGATTCCACTTTAAATGTTTTTCTAATTTTCATTCAAGCTTTCTTTGTAAGTTAACAAGTTTGTGGCTCTTGTTTGTATGTATTTTTAGGTGACGGTGCGTATTAACTATGTAAACAAATAAGATAGAAAACCCACACAAAAATCTTGTGTTTCTCTTACGGACGTTTATTCCTTTTATGTTGATTGTATTGAAACAAAGTTAATTGCCGCTTGAGTATGTCTGTTTTCCTTTCTTGTTCAGAAATATTTTATGGGACGTAAGGACAAGAGCGGGTAAAGATGGTCGAGCTCAAATCAGCCTCGCGCTTTGTTGGGATGGCCGAACCTCTACATCATGAGTAGAGCTGCTGAAAATACGTCCGAACATTCTCGTTGGAAAGTGGAAAGATTATGTCCATTCCGGAAGTGGAGTCATAAAATCTCACATGTGACCAGTAACCCTTTCCGGTTTCTTTATAAATTACATCATGGGAAAATGAATTTACTTATTTTTATTTATTATTATTTTATTGGTTTTATTTCATTTTCTCACAACGAAGCCAAACCAAGCACAAAACCAAAAATTGCCGACGTCTTTAAAAGAATCAAACGAACTATCGACAAAACTCACTACACCCTCAGGAGAAACCTGGTTTAATTTTGTTGTCTTTTTCGGATGGACATTTGCATTAGTACAGCAATAGACGTACTGAAATCTTTACTGAATTTGTTTCTCTCTGAGAAATTGAATTTTGTGTTTGGATTGACTTTATATTCATACTAATTCGGTAAGGAACGTTGAAGAACGAGGTTTCACTGGTGCATAGAGAACAACTAAAACATAATCAACACCTACTTTGAAGAACATCCAATGCACTTGTGGAAAAGCACAGGAGGAGGAGTAATAAAGAATCAGATAGACTACCTACTGTAGGGAGACAATAATTGTCTTCCCTTGGATTGGCGGTGGGGATTAGGACATCGCGTGTCCGTTAGTTACGTGCAAATTCAGCCCCTTACCAAAGTTGCTTTTAGAGGAGTTTTTACTTTTATTCGTTGAAAAGTTGACATCTTATTTTCCTGAAGTCCACATATGTGGAGAAGGGACATTATTGTTCGCTGCTTTTGGTTGAGTGAAAAAGAAACCTTTGTCACCAACTTCGGCAAGGCACTTTTTTTCACCAGGAAAAGGAAGACATTTTGTATTTATTTTTTATGTACCTCAGTCAAGAAGGCTCGTTCTTGGATCAATGTACAAACTGTACATCCATCTGTTTTTAGACACATACGATTTGTTGTAACATCTATTGTATTTATTAAATGTTTTAATTGTGTATGGGTGTATCTTGTCTTTCATTTCCGTTTATTCAGTGTATCAATACACTAATGCTAATATGCTGGTGTGTAGGAAACTATTCAATATCTATCTAGCATCAGATTACCGGTAAATTATGACTGACAAATAAAATTATACTAATAAGTTGTACTAATACTACCAATTAGTAAAAGATGTAAAAAATATACAATACTACACTCTACAACACATACGCAAAATTCTGACTGCAGGAGCGATCGTACCGCAGTTATATGCAAACTAAGTATAAAATTACAAAAAAATTAAAGAATCCTGAAACAACGCCTACTCGACAATAAAACAAACTGAAGAACGACTCCATTTGCAAACACCTGCAGCCATTGTTATTAACAAACATAAATCTTTGGGAGAGGTCAGGAAACGCCTTAAATGAAGCAAGAGTGACAACAGCAAATGAAGTTATCCCAAAGAAAAATAAGTGAATGGCAGATTAAATTCTCAAGTTAATAAAATAGGGGAAGCAGACAGAAGTCAAGAAATGGTGCAGAGTATATCATATTAATCAAGGATATTAGAAGTGAAATCGAGCAAAAGATGAATGACTCAACGAGAAATGTTCAGAAATCGAAAAACCTGCCGAACATAAAAATAAGAGGCACGCATAAAAATATAGAAGAATTAACAGAACAGAAAACTTTATCTTCGGCAGCATGCATAAAATGTAAAAAGCAAACAATCATAATGAAAAAAGAATGAATGCCAAATGTTTCCTTATAGGGAAATGGCTCTGATCTTTCACCTTCTTTATATCTACTCGTTCCCTCATCTAATTGCTTCCTCCGATCTTCATGTACGGATTAACCTCTAAGCCCAACGGAACTGTTTCAACTCACAAGAGAAAGGGCGAAAGGCGGATCACTAAATCCTTAAACTAGTTGTTTCGGACAGACAGAGCTCATAAACTTAAGCAGGTACCGCGTCAATGTGAAGGAAAACTGATTTAAAATCAGTAACAAATTATGAAGCACTTATTTCGATTAACCGCGTTACTTAGAACGATTACTTGGCTACTTATGTAAATGCAAAACCAGGTGGCTATAAAAAGACACTGTTGATTATTTATGGCTAATTTGTTTAAATAGTGCACTGACAATTGTTTGTGTTGCGTGGCAATAATTGTAAGTAAACTGATGCACTAACCAAGTAACCAAGTAATCATTTCAATCTGTTGTCAACTATTAACCTTGAGATAAGTCAATATGATAAATAGATAACATTTTCCCAGTTATTACAATGGTTATAGGGCAGTGGTGTGTATCTATCTATCTATCTATCTATCTATCTATCTATCTATATATATATATATATATATATATATATATATATGCACGGGCATATATAAGGGTGCGATAGATAAATTTTCGTCTAAATTACGCAAAAATGAAAATAACACTGACATCTCATTTTAGCAGATATACCGACACAAAAATATCTTGAAATACTAAAGAGTAAATTTATTCAATAAAATTGTCATTGGCTTCAACCACGCCTCCAGACGGCTTCGGAAACTCCTGCAACTCTTCTGGACGGTCTCCTTGTTTAAGTTGGTGAATGCTGCCATAATCCTTGCTTTCAGTTCATCTTTGGTGTTACAAGGAGTTTTGTTGGACTTTCGCTCAACCGCGCCCCACACATAATAATTAAGGAGTTGCAGTCTAGGGAGTTTGGTGGCTAGATGTAAGGAGTAATGTGGTCGCAGAGACTGAATACTCCTGCTTGTCTGGCATGATGCAGAGCCCTGTTGCCAGATATAGTCTTCTAGCAGCCACCATCTTGACCCAGGGCAGCACTACCTCCTCAAGACATGGTTTAGGCTTCCGTGTTGAGTCTGTGACCTTGTGGGAAGAAGAATGGAGGCATAACTTCGCCATCACTAGTGATCACTCCAAACACCTTCGTAATCATCATTAGACTCATCCAACTCTTTCCGAATCATATGCACTGTCCTCAGATTGGCAAACAAAATGAAATGTTTGTATTGGAGCTTCCAACACGAATGACAAGCAGTACAGCATGCCGTTTCCAAATTTCTAGCAGAGGGAATTGCGTCATGGTGCTCTTTTTCTTATAGACGTTGCCCAACTAGCCCTACTATACTGTGTAGTCGACAAAATCAAAAACAACGCGCATATTAAAAATATAAAATGGCAACAACAATTTACACATCACATTCTGTATTTGTGATATCGATCTTGAATATTTCTCAAATGCAAGAAATTATGCAGCACTTATTTTGATTAACCGTGCTACGTAAAATGATTACTTCGCTACTTATGAAAACACTCTTAGTTGGCAATAATATAAGTGACTGGTGGCTACAAAAAAAATCACTGTTGATTATTTATGGTTAATTTCTTTAAATAAGGCACTGACTTTTGTTTCTGTTGCTTTGCGATAATTGTCAGTAAAATTGCACTAAAATAATTTGTTGATTGATTGATTGATTTGTCTTTTTACAGCTTATCAACCTTTTTAAAGGCTATTTAAAACATATTTTGGGATTGTAAGAAGTTTTGGAGATAATAATTTTCTGATACAAGACTTACTATTTAACCCTTACTTGGGAGGAGAATAGGCGGATTCACATCTCTTCTAAACGTATTTGCACGTAAGTGAATATAACGAACCCAACTGGAATTCGAATGCGGCTGTCCGATTTCTCATCCCGAGCCTTTATCCATTACAACACCTGTTATTCTCGAGCGGTCACCCATCTAAGTAATGACTAAGTTCAACGTTGCTTAACATCTGTGATCGGATGAGAACCGGTGTTTCAATGTTATATGGCCGTAAGCCACGCACTAAAATAAGTAACCAAGTAATCGTTTTGAATTCTCTGAATATCAGTTCCTTTAAACCCTCCGCTGCTTTGCGGCTATACCCAACATTTTTTTTCAATCGAGTTCACCTCAAGCAAGAAAAAAATAATAAATAAAACACAACAAGGGTTGGAAGAATTAAAAAACAGAAACATTACTAAGGGTCGAAAACAATAGAAGAAGTAACCATGGGGCAGTAGATAGTGATCAATATTGCATTTAAATTTTTGAAAATCGATGTTGACTGGAAAGCATGGAGCCGGGAGGTAGTTCCACAAGCGAGAAGTGCGAGAAAAGAAACTGTTAGCATAGAACTTACGGTTACATTTAGCCAACTCGACTATGAATTGATGAGACCTTATCGCCTGTCTAGTACAGCGCTTAAATTCATAAAGTATGAGGAAAAAATGTCAGAAGTTTATTCCGAGAGAAAATCTTGTTGGAGTCTATGAGCCATTTCGTGCCCGTATTGGCAATTCCTGCAGCGATGTTGGTGCCATATGTATCGGCACTTTACTTTCCATTTGGGGGACCGCCGTCTGCATGGATAACAGATTGTCTCCCAACCATTTCTTTCTTCAGACCCTTCATTTCATTCTTTCTGTTTTCTTCCTCCTCCTCTTTTTCTTTCCTTGTCTTCTTTCTTTTCAATCTTTTTTTCCTCGTCTTCTTTCTTTTCTTTCTTTTCTCCTTTTTTTTTCTTTTCGTTCATTCTTTTTTCCTCCTCTCCCTCCTCCTTTTTCTTTTCTCTTCTTCTTTCTTTTCTCCTCGTCATTCTTCTTTTCTTTTCGTTCTTTCTTTAGCCTTCTTTCTTTTCGTTCCTCTTTTCCCCTCTTTCTTTTCGTTCCTCCTCCTCTCCCTTTTTCTTTACGTTCCTCCTTTTCTTCTCTCCCTTTTTATTTCCATTTCTTTTGTTCATCCATTCATCCTTTCTTTCTTCTCCTCCTGCTTTTCTTTTCTTTCTCCTCTTTTTTCTTTCTATTCCTTTCCTTCTTTCCTTCTTCTTTCCCCTCTTTTTTCTTTCTATTCTCTTCCTTCTTTCCTTCTTCCTTCTCCTCTTTTTTCTTTCTATTCTCTTCCTTCTTTCCTTCTTCTCGCTCCTCCTCATCTTCCTATCTGTTCCTTCTTTTCCTCTGATTTCCTTCTTTTTTTCCTTTCATTTTCTTTTTTTTTCTTCCCCGTTATCCTTTCCTGTTTTTATTTCGTTCATTTTCTCTTTATTCCTTTTTCTCATTCTCCCTTTGTCGCCTTCCTTGATTCTTTTTTCATTCTTCTTTTTCTTCTCCCTTCTTTCCTTCTATTCATTTATTCTCTCTTTCGCTCCCTCTTTAAATCCTTTTTAATCTCAGACGAAATCGACCCAATAAGCATACTTATGTATTTCATTAACACCATTTATGTTTCTACGCACATCATCCGCCAATGACACTCTCATTATCTTCTCTTTCTTCTCGTTATTTCTCGTTTTTTCACCGACTCTTGCAAGAAAAATTCGTCTGCCAATCAATCATTCTTCTGTCTTCAATTTCATCCCCAGAGACCTTATCGCATTCTTGTTACGGGTGTCTGACGTAGAAAATATCACCACCTACCTGAACAGAATTTCCTTTGACGAAATCTTGACGATGACTCCAGCGAAGGACAAGTGCATTTTTTTTTTATATCCTTTATTTCCAAAGTCAGTCTTATCAAAGCAAAGGCATTCTTTTGCTTATCCATCATATTTGCTTTTATATCTATTGTTCTTTTGTATCTATATAAGCAAGCGCACAAGTGTGTAGCTTCTGGTGGGGGATTGTTTGCGTGCAGCGAAGATCTTGGATCTATCGGATAATAGAAACTTGAGTTTAAAGCTTTCATAGAAAATAATACGAATCTAAAAATGACTTCTTCGATGTTTCTCTTTTTTTTTTTTTTTCTTTTTTTTTTTTTTTTGTTGATTGCAAAAGTTGACCATCCGGGGCACAAAGGAATCCCAGATCTATAAGGCTGTAGTTTAATAATGGAAAAAGCATTTATTTCACGCAACAGATATTTATTATTCAGCATAAACGCTTTCGCTGTCAGTGCACTTTATCCAACGGTTCTTCATACATAAATCGTAAAGATCAAACATTATACAGTGCAGATTTCAGACCAAAATTACAGCTAGCTATATCAGGCTACAAATTTATTGATCTATTATCGTACCCTTATACAGGATTAAAATGTATAGGAAATGAAAAATCCCTTTTGTTTTGAGTTGAAATCAGTTGTCCTTTTTCTTGGTTACATTAGCTTGTTGGGTAACATTGGAAGACCTTGGTAGTATGAAGATTACTATCTAGCCATTTATGATAAAAATAAATGGCTATGGAGAAGAGATGTTTTTTTTTTGTTTTTTTTTCTAGAATCAAAACATGAAAACAAACTATTACGTATCTTCCTAACCCTGAAATAAAATCTACTTGGTACTACAAAAGCGGTCGTTACTCCCACGTCCGACTCGTTATGATGCAAAAGTCTGCGTCTATCTAGACGTATGCAAAGCCTCTTCTCATCGTGGCGTCTAATCGAAAATTGTTCTCTGTACAGAGTGGGCTTCACTGATTGGCCGTTAATGCTCACATGACCGGCCAAGCGCGGCGCATACTATTTGAGGAAGAGGAAGAAAAGTAAACCCAACACGGGTAAATGATTCAAAATTACGTGTTCACTTAATTCATTTAATTCCAAACATTATATAGAGACATGTGATGGCCGAGTCTGTGTTTCAATAATAAGTGTAGAGAAGGTTAGTCAGTCTTTCTACAAAAGCGAGGTGCCAGGTTAGGACCAATAACATTGCAGACACTTTGGATTTTGTCAAGTATCTCGAGATATATAGTAGGAACACTAGATCAGATATGATACCAATATTCAATGCATGGACGAATGGTAGATTGATAAACGTGTAAGATGGATTCTGACAAAAGAAAATTGTGTGGTACGATACAATTAACCAACTTTCCTATCAGTCGACCTAGTAATTGATCCAATATAACCATTTGACTTACTTGATAGTAGAAATCGGGACCAAGAAGACACAATTGGTATAATGTATATTTTCGTTTTAATGTGGATTACTACTCTTGTTCATTCCCGTATAGCTTTATTTTCCCAAAAGCAGTCATGGTTTATTCAGTGTTTTACTACAACTTCTTAGTCGTTCTTGCAAAATAGCATGTAACCAAGATATAAAAAATCAGTCACTTGATAATGTCTTTTTTTTGTTTATTTGGATGTTAAATTGTGATTTTGCCTTGTTTGTTGTCATAGAAACAATCTTCTTAAGGTTTATTTCAAGACCTACTTCATTTGTGCTTTGAGGAAGATTGTTAAAAAATATTTGGAGATCATTTAAAGTGTTGTTTGTCAGGGCAGTTTTATATGGTTGTTATTGTGTGCCATGCACTCAAAAACCGTATATACCAAGTAAAATATCTTCAAATAAATTGAAAGAAATTTGGCAAATAGTTTGTCCATCCGTCAGAATTCTTCTCTTCTTAAGATTTTTTAAGTGGAAAAAAAGTTTTCAGGTGACGTGTTTCGTCCTTTAGGACTTCATTGGCCTAAAGTGATGTTTACGTGATGTTATTACACATGTGCATGAAGGAGAGGGGCCGCTGAAATTTGGGTATAAGTGTTTAGGTATATGGATTTTTGTACAAAACACACTCAATACATTACCTACCCACCGTAATGAGACTGACAATAATTTTGATTTAAAAAAAATGCCCTTTTAATTAAAAGAAAAAGCAATTTACTTCGACGAAAATGTATAAAAACTGGTTTAATCGCTAGATCATCCCGTCCAGGTTCTTACATTTCACCTTCCTTAGTAGATCCTCTGATATCACAATGTGAGACGTGATAAAACCATATAGAAAAAGAAACTAAATGAAATTGACTAGACTATATAAACACACGCACATCTCATATATATATATATATATATATATATATATATATATATATATATATATATTAGATGGGGAGAGAGAGATAATCAGTAACTCCAAAATGAGAAAGCGGAAGTAATTCCGTTTATTTTGACGTCGAAATGTCGATGTTTATTTCCATCATCCCGAAAGCCGTAAGCTGTTTATCATATCTATTAAAATGAATGTGTTATATATTATATGGGAGTCAATGTTCGCCTTTCTCTCGGGGAGGTGACTTCATGACGTTATCGGCCTGAGGAGGCAATCTCAGCGTTTCGACCGTTGGAAAAGTTGTGAAATACTACGAGTTGACCCAAGCCTTGTGAGTGATGTCGGGTAGACGAAACTGTTCGAAAACTGCCGATGGTTGTTGTGTTAGCACGAAGTCGCAAGTCATCGGGACCAAGGTTTTGAGCGTACTGGTCTTGTTAAAAAGAAAAAAAAAAGGGCCAAATGATGCGCATTTTCCCAGGAAATATAACTATGGTCTACTCATCATTGTAGCAGTATAAACTAAACATGGGCTCTGTGGGTGTTGAACAAACACAAATTGACTGAAGAAGCGTCTGCAACAAGGAAATTGCTAGCCCCCCTATTTGCCGGATGTACAGCAAAATTGTCCAAATCGTGTAACTGTGAAATAGTCCAATTGTTAGATTAAGCTTTGAACCGTTGTATCTTAGAAATGATTAAAGATATCTTACTGGAATTACACGAGGTTTTTATAACATTATTGGACTCTACTTTGAACAATATGAATGTATTTAGCTCTAAGTTGAAATGAGGATCTCTCTTGCTGTTGTGACCTCCTGATCCAGTTTTCCTCTCTACTGTTTCCTCATTATTAAACTTCTTCACCATTCTGTTGATACTTCTTGAACGGACTTTGAAGATGGAAACCAGAGTATGAATGTTGGTTCTATTACCGAAGGCCTGAATGATATTTTTCGTCTCGCCATTGCTCAGTTTGGAAGACTTAGTGGGCTGACACAAAACGATTTTAACCTGTTCT